ATACCATTAACTGGGAAAGATGCTCAACTTTGCATTGAGTCCACTAAACATAGCCAAGACTGTGCCCTAATACTAAGTTTTTGTTTTCTACTAAAGGTAGTCGATTTACTCTGCAAACCCGACAAATACTTGTTGAGCTATAGAAAGGATTCCAGAGCACACAAAGGTAAATAAGGCAGGTTCTTGTCCCCCAGGAGCTCTGAACTTAGAAATGTCAGCTCACTTGCGACTTGGGTGAAATTTCAATCTACAAAACTACTCTGCTAAGTGTAATATATACTTAAGGCCAAGGCAAGTATTAAGACCCAAAGAAATTTGGCAATACATAATAGTAGTTAAGTAAAACATTTAGCAGCACTTTAAAGACCTTTCCTTAGTAATTAATACCTGTGTGAACACTTAAGATTGTTGTTTACAAAAGCTGGTGTACTCGAAATACCCCCTCCGCGAGCGAACACACACACACACGTTTGGGGGGGCGACACCTCTTGTCAACCATTTTCTGCAGTTCCTAGGTCTACACGGACTAACGCTGCTGTGTGTCGTCAGATGAAATCAGGTGGAGGTGAGGTGCTCTGTCCACTTAATAAATAACAGGAACCAAGACATGCCTGCAGCATTTATTTGAGTCAACGCAAGTAATTAAATATTCGTGGAAGGAAAACCAGAGGTGTGTTTAAGCGTGTGGGAAAGACACCCCTTTCCAAGATCAAATACAGTGAGCTCGGCTTTGTGTCAGTGCTGCTAAAGAAAGGTAGTGACCATCTTGTCGCCTTCTTTGACACCATCTTCGTTCCCATTAACTGGCCCTTGAAAAGGGATTTTTGAGAAGAGGGCACCTATGGCTTGTGTTCTTGAAAACGCCCGCAACTCGAAGAAGGTGTGGGTTCCGCCCTGCTGAGCAGTGTGCGCCGGCAGCTGCCCCTATTGTCTGCCGTGGGGGCAGGGCGAAGCCCCGCACCCTGGCTTTTGAATATAGCGGAAGATACAGGAGGGGGAGGTCGCGGGCCGGGGAGAGAGCTGTCACCGAAGGCCACCCCCATATTCAAATGCTCAGCCCCGAGGCGTCCGAGAAGGCGGCGGTCCCCGCGGCAGCGGCGACGGTCCGGGCTGCGAATCGCCGTCGTGTGGTTGCTACTGGCAACCGAGCCTCCGCCGGGCGCACAGCCCGCAGCCGCCGCAGGAAGGTGGCTAGGGAAGCGGCTACGGCGCGGCGGGTGCTCAGCCCTGGCCGCCCCTAGGACGGTCGCCCCCGCCAGCTCCCCGAGGCCCTCCGCCCCCTGACCGCAGCTATGCTCGCCGAGGAGCCGGAGGGAGGCCTCCGCGCCGCAAGTGTCAAAATCCCGGCGCCCTCCGTGAAAGCAACATGGCAGCCGGGACTCGAAGCCCCGCGGCCTCTGAACGGCAGCGGATCGCCCAGCGGCCGCCCCGGGTGTCCCCGCGTTCAGCTGGTGGCTGTCGGCCGCCCCAGCCCCGTCAGGCCCCGGGTGGCGCGAGAGTCGGCCTTTGTTCTCCGCTCGGCGGCCGACTCTCGCCGTGGGGGTCCGAAGGGCGACCCCGAGGCGCCGCCACAGGGGTGGGGGTGGGGGATCCGCTGCTGCACGCAGGGACTGTGACCCGGCTCTCGCCACCCCGGGTCGCCCACTCGTCGCGTCGCCTCTTTCCCTTCAGGCCTGGGTTCCCATGATCCCTTCTCACACCTTGTAGGTGTGAGGCGGGAGGCCCGGGAGGGGACGTGGTAGGGGCCGCGACACGTTCCTCACGAACGGAGAAATAAGATCTTCCGTACCGGGCGGAGGACGGCTGGGCTCCACCCGCCGCCACACCAGCTCCTGGGCACAAAGGTCCCCCCCAGGCCAGGCAGGGCGGTGCACTGGTCAGAGATGAGGAAAGCCAGGGGGAGAATTTGCATTCGCCAAAACCGAGGGGAGTGTGGGCTTTATTTTTAAGACCGGAGCCACGTGGGCGAGCCAGTCGTGACGTTTCACTCGGCGTGTTACAGAAATACCGAAATCCGTCACCAAATGGCGGTTCCTCCAGCCTGCTGCCCCGGGAGGGGATGGGCCGGCCCGCGTCGCCCGTGGCAGGGCACTTTCACTTCTCGGCGGCCAGAGAAGCGCTCGCGCCCCCGCGTCCCCGGCCCCACTGAGGAGAGGGGATCCCCTGGGCGACCCCGAGTCCGAGGCCGCCCGCCTCTCTCCCCTTCGCTCCGCACTGGCCTGGCCTCCCATCCGGACGCCCACCCGGGAGAGCCAGCTGTCTCCACCGTCCCGGCACCTGCGGGGACCTCGCCGCTCGGCGTCTGATGGGGACTTAGCTTCAAATCCGAGCAACAAAACCCGGACTCCAAGCTCCGAGGACACCTCGTTGGAGAAGGAGAAAGGGCTTTGGCACTGAAGCGAGCAGAGAGGAGGGGACAAAGAGGCGACAGCCATGCAACCTCGGGTTAGAGACCCGGGTCCACGCGGGACTCGGGTCTGAGACTCGGCCTCGCGCCTCGGTGGCCGCGCGGTCCCGGGGAGCGGACGGCTTCGGAGAAGGAGCCCTGCCCGGAGGCTGCGGTCTGGCAGTGGCCGCCTCTCGCCCCCGGGCTGCGGTTCTGCGAGCCTGCAGAGTCCATCGGGCGCCCGAGTCCCGTGGGGCCTGACAATGTCGCTTTCAAATTTGGCGGGAGTGACGTCCGCGGGGCTGAGGGCGGCGCGAGGCGAGCGGCGCACGCGCAAAATGGCCTCCCGGTTCCTCGCGGCCTGTGCTCGCGCGGGGAGAGGCAGAGCGCGCGGCGCGCCTCGGCCCTGAAGCGCGGGGCGCTGCTCGGAGGAAAAACTAAGAGGAGGCGCCGAGGGACGCTGCCTCTCCAGCCTGCTCCTGACGGGGAAGGCAGCTCTGCCGTCCGAGCGACGTTATTTCCTCGGGCACCCAGTTCCTTCCCACCCCGCACTGGAAACTTTTTTTTTTAACAGGTGCGGCAATCGGACAACCACCGTGGTCCCGGGCTTCATTTTCTGCAACCGCTTGCCTTTGTTGGAAAGTCTCCCCTGGTTTCTGGGTCATTTAGAAGGAGATTCTCAATCTGCAGTACTTCTTGCCCCAATGGTCGACGCCTTTCCCTCTGGTCATGGTCCCTAGCTTTCTGTCACTCCTGCCAGCTTGGGTTCTAGCTGATTTGGGACAGACTTGGAAATCTTCCAACCCTCCTGAACCTTGAAATCACGTACATTTTGAAGTTGTTGGGGTTTTATGACGGCCCAAAATTAATACCAAGCAGGGAAGGTGTAGGTGATCAAGGGAACACTGGCTTTCTTCTTTTTTTTTAAAGTTCTGATAATCTCTGAAAGTAGTATTTTTATGACGAGGGTCAGAGAAGATGCAATTTAACTCGTTTTTATTGAGTGTTTTACTATTTATTCAAAGGGCTAAATGAGATTTCGGGATGAGTTTTTCACTTGAACATTTTCAGAAAAACCATAAGGACCCTGGAATGATAAATGACTTCTGATGTCGTCGTCTTGGTGAAGGCAGTTATAGTGAAGTTCTTCGTGTGACAAAGACCTCCAGAAATTACACACTAAGAAAAAGAAACTGATGCAAATAAAGGAAATCCGTTTCAGGAACCAAAAGAAAAAAACGTTTTAAAAATTAACTGCGGAAACAGGAAACACTAGACTGTGTAAACATTTTTCTGAGACTTTCATAACCAAAGCTGGGTGATCTTGAGATTTGCAGGGCGATTCTGTGGTTCAAGGACTCCGCAGGACTGCTTCTCAAATCTTGTTTACTAGAGGTTGGAATGTGTGTGTGATAAGTTCTTTCTCTTCTTTGTAGAACCCTGTTCCTGAGGCCCCATTCGAGTTCACAGGACATGTTTTGGAGGAGGGTTATTTCAGGAGTCGGAATTTTTTAAAGTAGTTTTGGAAATATCCACCTGTTGTACTGCTCATTTTATATAGGAAGAGACTTCCTTATGAGCTATACATGTAACTCAAGAACTTTAAGTTAGGACTGGAAGTCCGTACTCCATTCTATCAGGTGTCTTAAAGGGATATGCAATTTTTAAGGTTTTTGTGTGGTGTTAGAAGATGTACAGATCTAACATGATGGAAATCCAGTGATTTTAAATGCAATTTGATTAAAAGCCTTTTGTTCTTTCAATCTCTCGTGTAAGCACTATCAGGACTATCATTCCTGGTGCAATGGGAGGAAAGATACATAAACTCTTAAGAAAAGCAAAACAACTTCCTTTATCCCAGGATGCTGAGTTACCAGTGCAGTATGCTTCTGAATCGTATTCCGTCTAAAAGCTCTAAACTATGTAAAAAAGACCATACATCTTCATTTCTTGCTGATCGGTACAAGTAGCATTTCATGTGGATAAAGGCGTCAGAACAAAAATAAACTTGTTTTTGAAAGGCCCACACAAACATGCCAGTGTAATGAAAGACATCACTAGTAGTTTAATTTCAACCCTTGGGGAGATGGGAAAAGATGGAGGAAAGGTCCTACCAGTTTGCTCTTGTATTTTGCTTCTGGGGAACCTACCATCTGAACATGCGCATATGGAAATGAAGCAATGTGCTTAACTAGTTAAGTCATCTGCAGGGCAACCTTTTTCTACCCAGTGCAATTAACGGCCGGCAATTTAGGAGGTAAAAAGTACTTGGAAAGCATTATGCATGTGTAAAGCAAGATAGATCACTATTTACACAACAGTGGGTGGGGGATTTCTCTTTCTACCTTCAAGCTAAATATCTGTGGGATCAATTTAGGCATTTTCTGTAGACCACTTGGTTAGCCTTGTATCTTAGGATTCTAGAATACATTTAGGAGTAAAAGTCAAACTTTAAAGTCAACTTCTCATGTACCCTAATTTGGTAAATTAAAAAGTTAGGAGATTTGATAGATTTCATTTTCTTAAGGTGAAGGTTTTTAAAGTGGCAACGTGGGAAAGGTTTTATATCTCAATGGTAAGAATAATGAGTAGTCATTTAAGAAGCAAACCATAATTCATCTTTCTGTTGTTTTATTAAAAGACAATTTTTGACTGAAATATCTTTTAAGCTTAAGCAATTTTCAAATTGAGTAAGGGTAAAAAGCCTCTCCCCAGATACAATAAATGGAAATGTTTTCAAGTGTGGTGACACACTGCTGAGTAAGCCTTAAGTGCCGTCCATCATAGAGGGTGAGATGTCTTCTGTCCCAGATAACACCGTGAAAACCTTAAGAAAAGCCTAGAAAAATGAGTTAAATTCACCAAAAACTGGCAAACATTACTAACTTTTGCTTCAAATATTGTAAATAAACAGATACATCTTTCATTGGGCTTCCAAGCAATATACAACAAAGCATTTACCTAGCAACACCATTTGAAGACAACAACGGATTCTCCTTAGGTTTTAGCTCTCGTAATCCACTACAGGGTTCCCAAAACTTATGCACATTGTGCTTTTCATAGCAAATTTTTAATTAAAGATCATAGCTATTTTCTAAATGAATATCCTTTATTGAATCTTTCCAATTAAAAATGAAATTTAATTTTACATCTATAATTAGAAACAACACACAATAGGACTGTACAAATTTAGGTCAAAATAAAAATATATGTATTTTGTGGCTTCATAAAACATCATTTACTGAATCTTTAAAGAAAGCAGAAGTAACAGCAATCTATGTAAAAGTAATGATTTAATGGCTATAAGCAAGACAAAGCAATAGAATTGTGCTTCTTTCCCAGACTGGAGACAATGAAATGCTTAGCTACAATTTCCCATACAAACATGAAACAATATTCATACAGAATAAACATCCTCACAAACAAATGACAGGTGATGAGCACACACTAAGTTCGACCAGAGCAAAGCAGAATTGGTGGAGTCATTCGTATTTTAAAGTCAACATGTTTGCTCTGCTTAAAAATACCTGTAGAAACTCATAATAAATTGCTTCTATTTCCAAACATTACAGAAAAGGCAGATACCTTTAACTATGAAAACAACTCTTAAATTTGAAAATATTATTATGCCACATACACTGAAATAATTGTAGATAAAATGCTTTCCTTCAGCTGGTTGACTTAAAATCTATTTTAGAATTCCAGTGATAAATAGTATTTAAAAACACATTACTTCTATTTTAACCAATGGAAAGTTAAAACATTATTTCCAATTGCCTTGGTTAAAATTTTTCTTTACTGCAACATTAATTTTCAAAGTATTGGAGAAAAGCCAGAACTAGGATAATCTGCCATTTGCTTCTAAGTGGAAAAGAATTTGAAACTAGTCATCAGTATTAAGATAAATTGTGTGCTGGTGGTAAGTAAGCCTCAACGTAGGGCATCTGCAAAGGTCGAACAAGTTTGGAGAATTTTAACAACTGTTTCTGAATGCATGAAACACAATATTTTATAGTATTTATAAATATATCATACAACACTGTTTCCTGTTTGTCATATACCAATATGGCATTGTACAACAAGCATAATGCCATCTGATTCTTACAAAAGCGAATCGTTTAAACAAGTCAGTAAAATAAACGGTAGTACCCGCTTTTAGGCATACAGATTGTAAAACTGAAGTTTCCTTTGATCATTTTGTGTAGCAACAGAGAAGTAAAAAATCAAACAGGAATTAAAATGGCTAAATATGCAAGAAATTGTTATTCACAGTGACATGGCTACATAGAATGCATTATTCTATGCTTATTCTTTCCATTTGCTGAATTTCAAGATAAAAAGCACTTGTTTTCTACAGGTTCACAAAACAGCATAATAACAAGAACAATCAAAGAGAATGCAATGTAAGTGTTAATTGAGATTAACAAACTATGGCCCAATGTTTCTACCCACCGCAGAACATTTCCAAATCCAAACCATTTCGCATCTTTCCTAACCCAGAAAAAACATCTTGCCTGCCCCCTCAGAATCCAATTCTTTACAGAAACAATCTTTGCTTTCAATTAACATCCATATGATGTGTCACATCTAGTCCATCTTTTATGGCCAAATTTAATGTCACTACAAAAAAAAGCAAACTGGACAATAGTCACATGTATTAGCATCTATAAAGCTGTAATGGATGAAGGTATCTAAATCAGGGGTTGAAAAATCTTTTCCTTAACAGTCTCAGGACTCAACCAGATGAAGTTGCTGATGACCCATTTATTGATGATTTTCGAGGTCTACTGGCAAAGGAAGATTGGTGGTTACCACTGGGGCTGTTGCTGGTTCCATTCATAGTACTGGAGATGTGAGGGAACTGGGGGTGAGGAGACTGCACTGGAGTACTGGGGCTGGGCAAACAAGAAGAGGTGGAGGGAATACCTCCTGCTGGGCTGTTGGCCTTGTCACTCCCAGAGTCACTTTCCAGTTCTCCCGCATTTGTCAGCCCATCTCTCTGGTGACTGATCTTCATTCTTTTACAAGTTGGCCGGACTCTGTATTTCAAAGGAAGAGGGCCATTCTATAAAGTTAAAAGGAAAAAGAAAAATCACTCTCAAATCTTTATATGCATTTGGCCAACATAAGCTAAGGGTAGAGATCTACTTACTCTTCTCCAGGTATAAATGTAGGCAATGTCCATTAGTGTATAGTAATCCTTTAAAGGTTCCTCTTCATACATGACATCAATCTATTGAAGTATATTTCAGGTATTCAGTGATAAAAAGACAAACTTGTATGTTTTTGACATCTAAATATAATTCAAAATGCTTTTAAAAGCCGCTTCACCAGTTATTTTAAGAGATATATTGAACTTAGCCACCAAATTTAAGATTTTTTTGTATTGCTTTTTCAGGTTCAGAATCAAAATTTTTAAAAACTGTAAAAACTACATAAAATGCACGAAGTAGGTACCTGGAAAGTATTAGGTATGTCCATTTTACTCCTGAGAAACTTCCTCAAGTGCATCACAGTCATTGCTGCTGGGCATCGTAAGTATCTTTTATCATTCACCTAGAAGCACATTTATAAAACTAATTTCTCCCAACTCTTAACTTTCAGGTAAAAAGAAAGTCTGAATTGCCTGAACACGATAGAAGGTACTAATATTCACACCAAAATGCAACAAGCTATATTTTGAATTTACTATTAAAAATACTAAATCAACAAATTCCCAACTCCATTTGGCCATTTAATAGCATTCTATGACTATTGTAAAGGACAACATAAAATGGAGACCCTGAAGTCCCCTTGTGTTTTGTAATGTGAACATACCTCCTCCTTTGATTTCTCTTTGTTTACCTTCCGATCAGATCTAAGAGACAGACAATGACTGGTAAGGCAAAGTATCTAATACCACATTGCCATAAAACACATGTCCTGGAGAACTTACCTGTTCTGATCAAAGAACTCAATAGATAAGCTTATTATCTCATCGTCAGTTATAATTCGCTTATCCTCATCAGCAACCTCTCCTCTGTCTTCATTAGAACCATTGGCAGCTATAAAGACATTTTGAAATCTGACTTTAAAAACTGAGTATTGTATATAAAATAGAAAGGATAATTTTGAGTAGACTCAATTACTAAATAGATTTTCTTCCTCCCCAAAATAGATTTTTTTTTTGTCCCACAAAAGTTTACCATCAGCTGAAGGATGAGCTGCATAAAAGTCCCTCCTTCTTTTCATTTCATCTGAAAGGTGTAAGAAGGGGAAATATAGAAATTTGATACAAGTAAAACAATTTTTAAAAATTCGTTTAATCAAGGTACTTACTTTTGAAAAGCCCTGGAACTAACTTGTACACAATATCTTGAAGAGTTTTATCTGACCTGAAAAAGAATAAGAATCAATTAATATGGCAAAACTAGAAATGGTGTTAAGTTTTTGGTATTTTGGGTGTTGTGGTCATTTTACTGATTGTGATACAGTGTAAAGTACTGAAAGAGAAAGTGAGGGCTCTGTAGTAGTTCTTCAAATCAGCTGATCCTTTATAGTCAATAATTAGTTCTTCACATGCATTGAGTCAAGGGAAGTGGGTCTTTCATGTAACTAAATTCACTAATAAGAATACAGAAAAGACTATGGAAATATTGAAAAATTATCCTTGTCTGTCATTAAGCAAATAAAGCAATGCACAAAGAAGGGAAACTTGTCGGACAAAAGATACCTTAAGAAACTGGAATAATACTGAGCTTTGTCTAAACACAGTCATCATTAAGATGTTAGGAAATTAAAGTTGTGTCCCCTATAAAGCCCATATATCAGGTTAAGACTCAAGAATAAATTTCCTTCGAAGCAAAAACAGGGATGCCTTCCCTACTTGTGAATTATGCAATACCAACAACAATTACCACTAAGAAATGTTAGCATCTTCCTACCTTATATTCAGTAGTGGTCTAGTTTTGTGAACTTGGACATCACAGATAGGACAATACTTGCTGGTCTCCAAGTAACGTACAATACATGTTTTACAAACTAGAAAGAGGAACATAAAACGTTTTTGTAAGTTTAGAAAGTAGAGGTTCAAGCATTCATAGCATCAGAACTGAAAATTCAAGGATGGGAAATGACAAAGGTACTGCCCAAAATTAACAAGTGAAACCAATTAATACCCTGAACACTACATACTACCTAACTGTAACAAAATCAGTAACAAATCACTACATGTAAAAGAAAGTAAATCCCACAACTGTGGAATGTGGGAATGTTACTAGGTTTATCAGCCAGGATGAGCTGTAAACTGTAAAGACACAAGAAGGCTAATGTACACTTACAGGAATGTAGACATTCTATTATGGTAGTGGCATCAATGAAGTACCCTCCACAAAGTACACACATTAGGTGGGGATTTAGCTCAGTGATCTTGATTCTGGTTGTTCGATGCATTTCTGCTTGATAAAAGATCCTGTAAGACACAAAAATATTGGCTGTAATCCAAAGAAAGAGAATCAAGATTATCTCCACAACTCTAAGTAACTGTATACCCTGAAACACTGGGTAGTTCATAAAACTCGTTTAACACTGTGCAGCTGGACTCTCGAAACGTTTTCCACAGAAGGAATTTACTAATGAGATCAGAATAACCTCCACTGAAATGGTGTAAAAGGATCCAACTAAATTTACTTCTGGCCTCTCAGGTCATTCCGGGAGTGAGAAGAAAAGGTCTGAACTGGGGGCTGGGAGTTGAGTGGATTCAGGTCTCTTTTCTTCCATCTGTACTCCAACTCCTCGGACACCATGGAACTCTTCAGACATCATGCAGTCCCCGAAAATATTTACCAGCCACTAGGGCTTGATCTAAGTCTTCGAGTTTACTGTGGAATTTCCTGCAGGTCCTCTGGTCAAAAACTTCGGGATTCTTTAGACGGCTCGAGCAACCAGAACCTGGCAGGGCTGAGGCAGGCCCCACAAAGAGAAAGCGCTCGGTGCAGCCTCCTGTAACCCTGGCATTTCCGGACTGGGTGCCGACAGAAGCACCTCGTGGGCCTCCGCTGCGGCCTGGGAGCCACGGACACGGGCGGGATGTGAGGGGCGGATCCCGAGGTGCCCCAGGCTAGGTCTTGCTCCGGATTCGGAACTCGCCTCTGTTGGGGTTTCCATAGCAACTTACACTTACACTTGGCATCCGGCCACCGCTGCAACTCTGCGAGGAGCTGGCCAAGCCGAGCCTCTGCGGGCTTGCGGGGTGGCAGGCGCGGGGGAGGGGCGGGGCGGGGCGTAGGGTGCGGATCTCCGGGTGACCGCCACCGCAGTCCCAGCCCCAAAGAGTGTACTGGCCATTCCAGACTCTCCCGGTCTCTTCCACGTCCATTGAGAGAGAAAAGCTACTTTCTTATCTTGCGTGTTTCTGTCTGACCTGTTAGCAATCGCTTCGTCAGAAATTTCACTTAGAGATCTTTTTGACAATTGCCAACTGTGCACTTAGTCCCAACCCGGCAAGGCTCGAGTTGCAGAGTCGTTTATTGAACTGAACTTTTAAGGCTCCCTTCTCTAACAAGTTCTCCAGCAGATTAGATTAGCCATGCAAGGTTTTTGAAAGGGCTAAATATTGAAATCTGTTTTACAAGAGAAGGAGGGGCAAAACTCCATCTGAATAAACGATGTTGCAGGCAAGAAAAGCTACTTTAGTGGGGAGGATAGTGACAAAATGTAAAGCGTCATATGACCAGCCCATTCCCCAAAGTTAAATGCAAGGTAAAGATTGGGGGGAGAGGGAACAAATGTCATTTTCTCACCTAACATCCATACAATACTCACAAGATGAAATGATAATCCCAACAGATACATTTCAGAAAACTCACAGTTGAGAACTGTCAGCAACACCACACCAGAAAGTAATCAGGGAAGTCAATTACCTAGTGTACAGCTGTGGGACCTATCTTAAATTACTACCTTTTCATTCATTAGACTTCTAACCAAGGCTGACCTTCTACACCTGACTGAATCACATCCTCAAAGGTGTCTGCAATGGAAATTTAGAAACTTGCATTTGTAATAAAATGCACCGGGGGAGGGGGCTTTAATTTTAAGGAAATTTGAGGGAAATAACAACTAGCATAGCCCAATGGCAGGAATGAAGAGCTGACAGTACTAAAAGATGGCCCAAATACAAAACAAGCTTCTCTGTGGATGTGGTTCAGTGGCAGCCAGTGACTTCAACCAGAGAACGTCTTTGGGTTATGTGTTAAGAATATTGCCAAAAAACAGCATTAATCTGAGAGGAGTAGTAGAGGAGCTGTAGATGGAATCATGTCTCTGAAGAGGAGCAAGATCCAAATTCAACCATACTTAGTGATTAAGGACCACCTTGCCTGATGCTTAAAGGGAACTCTCCTGGTGAAACCACAGGATCTGTCCTAGAAAGATGGTCAGTGAGCTTGACACTCTGCCTAGGAAAGAAACCATATCCTACTCACAGCACCCATCATGAAACTCACAAAGGGCTCTGCCTTCTCCCCCCTGTATTGCAGAAGGAACATTCTATTACATAAGTGCCAATACTGACTCAAAGAGGACTCAAGTCTCAACAGAGGGTGATCACTAGTTATCCTTGAACATTTCAGTCCATGGACTTGACCAATGCCTCTCAAATTCACCTCAGATTGGAATTCACACAACTCTTCTACCTTAGTTGAAAATAAGTTGGCCTCATTCCTATAAGCATTCATAATGCTAATTATCATTTTGTAATTGATACAAACAGCAATTCTTCATCATTTTATCCTATTGGATAGTACTGACAACCTAATACTTTCTGAAATGTTTGATAAAAACCTAAGAACAATCTCTTGCACCACAGAAACTGCTTGTTAGCCTTTAAATTCAGCAAGCACACAATGTTGAAAATACTCAATAGTTAAAACATGCCTTTATAGCTTACTCAGCTGGGGCTGTCAGTTTTTAGTTGGAGGCCTAACACCAGTAAGGTCAAAATGATGGAAAACAGAAGCAAGCTCTTATGTTAACAATCAGCTTGACGACTGCAACCTAAGAAATGCAAATGAACTCCATAATCCCACTTGGGGCTCCCTGCTCAAATGCTAGGATGGGTAAAGTTGGGGGTGACTTGACTCATGGGGAGAACTTGCCTATTTGGACACTTACCATACATCCAAGAGCTCAGTGGTAGAGCATTAATGGACTTACCAAATAAGTCTAAAAGCTTACTTGCCTTACAAAAGTTTTATGTAACTATATTTGAGTGTCTACACATGCATTCACAACCTTTTACATACCTTTAAAGATATTATTACAAGAATATAATTTGCCCTGGTAGGTTATTTGAAATACTGCACTTTCCTAGGAGATATATGGCAATGATCTGGGTAAAAAAAATTACAACTTTACTTAGGAAAAACAACCTCTGAGAGATTCTCCTTAATCTGTCACTATTCTATTTGAGACCTAAATGTTACTACATAGTCTCATAACTTGGTTACACACATGCCGTCAACAATTCACATCCTTTAGTATCAAGTCTTTACTGCGTTTTACAACGTGTTTCCAAAGGTGTGGGGGGGGAGGGTCCTATAAAAATAGGTTGAGCTAAAATCATACATCTGCATTTGGGTAAATATGCCCGGAATTTTGCCTACTTTAAGGGAAGGGGTTAACGCTCAATTCTCTTTCAGATATTGAACCGTGACCACTAAGCCCACTAAATCCTTTTATTGCAATTGGGAATGATCAAAGTCTCTCTCCTTGTTTATTTCCAATTATTAACTGTAAAGCTCTGGGGAAAAGATCATGCTCCAGCGCTGTCAAGTCCAAATGACTACGTAAACATAAGCAATCAATGCGTTAGTATTCCTTCCCTAAAGCATCCCCTTTACTACATGCCCTTTGCTGACATTTAGCGAAATCTACAAAACGCAGTGGACCTAAGCCACGAGTCTCTGCGCATCCCACAGAATAGAGGAAAGTTGTTGTGTCTTCGAAGGAAAAGAAGAAAAAGGGGGGAAAGGAGAGGACAGAGAAAGGGAGCTTTCAGCAAGGCTAACGACCAGTCACCATCTTCACGCCACAACAAAGCTCTAAATTTGAAATGCCCACCTCCTGGAGAGCTCGCCCCAAGTACGTATGGAACCTCTGTCCAAGACTCCCAACAAATACCACCTTGAAAACTTTACCCTTTCCAACACAAATGCACAAGACCTTGGAAACAACTGGGAACCGCCATCTTACCAGCCATCCAATTTCACACAAGTGTCCCTCCAACTTAAGTTAATAACATTTTTGTCCGGGCTCCCCCCAGCCTAACACCCACCTCATCGGGATCGCTGCCCCCCACAGTACCCGTCCCTATAAAATGGGGGCGTTCCCTGGAGGTTCAAAGACCTCCAGAGCCCTTTCTTCGGGAGAGGAGGGAAGCCACCGGACCCAGGCAGCGCCCGATCTCAGGATCCCGTCCCCATTTCAGCAAAGTCTACCTCTCAACAAAGGGCGCTGCGGCCGCGGGAGCCGCGCAGGCTGAAGACACAAGTGCCGCTCTCGGGGACCATGTGCGGCGCGAGGGTGCCGGGGGGGCGCTCGGGGGAGCGGGGAACTAAAACGTGGGGCGGCGCGGCGCGGCCGGGCGCGGGCGGCGGCTGGAGCGGCTGGAGCGCGGCCGGGCGGCGCTGGTGCGGGCTGCGGGGCGTCCGGCGCCGCGGGAGGTGGCGGGCGCGCGGGCGCGGGCGCGGGGCGCGGGCCGGTTGCCCACGCTGTCAGCTCCGCCGCCCCCCCCCACGCCGCCCCGACCCCCACCAGTCCCCGGCCACGGCCCGCCGGCGCCTCGCCTCCTACGTACCCGGAAAGAGCGGCCGGCGCGAGGCGATCGGAGCGGGCGGAAAAGACAATGAAAGTTAAAAGTCGTTCAGCAGAAAATGAATGCGAGCCAAGCGGCCATCTTGGAGCAAGCTGCCGCCGCCGCTGTCAATGGGCACCGAGCGCGGCCGAGTGCAGCCGCGGCCGCCGCGCTCGGCTCATGCCGCTCCCCCGCCGGCCTCCTGGTCGCGCGCTGAGGCCTCCTCCTCCCGCGCGGCCTCCTCCGCCTCCGCGCGGCCTCCGCCGCCGCCTCCTCGGGGCCTCTCCTCCTCCTCGGCGCAGCCGCCGCCTCCCGGCCGCGCTCGGGGGGAGGGTGCGCGGAGGGGCCGAGCCGTATTATTCTGCGGGGCTGGGAGGTGTTGCTAAGCCGGCGCGGGGCTCCCTCGCCAACCTCCCCATTGTCTCGCCCGGTCTCTGCCTTTAATACTACGATTATTATTTCAGACTCGCGTGGGGGAGGCGGGGGGCGCCGAGTGTGCGTGCGGGCGGGGAGGCGGGGGAGGGGAGGAAGGATGAGGAGGGGGAAGGGAGAGTGGAAAAAAATGCACCGCTGAAGGCAGAGTGGAAACTGACACCGGCTCCAAAATGGCTCGGAGTCCGCCCGCCCCCTCCCCCGCCCCCCGGCCCCCGCCGGGTCACGTGCTCCCCTCATTCCTTAAGGGCGGCCTGGGAATTAGTGTCGGTGTAGTCGGGCCCGTGGCCGCCCCCTCCCCTGCGCGCCGCGCGCCCAGCCCCCTTCCCTCGCTGCGCGCCGCGGCCGCGGCGGCGGCATTTCTCCACAGCGCCACACGCCGCCCTCTCGGCGCGGCCCGCTCGGCCCCGCACGCCGCCCCGCCCCCCACCATGTCTCCCGCTCGCGGCACACACGTCCGCGGGGCCCGCCGCCGGGGGCGCCCGGCCGCTGCCCCCGCTCGGCCCCGCCGAACCTGCGCCGAGTCAGGCCCGCGGAAACAACAGCGGCCGCCCCGCCCGCTGGCGGCCGGGAAGAGGCGCGCGCGGGCAGCAGCCGGGCTGGCTCCGCGCGCAGGGTCGGGCGGCCCGGGCGCAGGTAACGGGCCGTCCCGGGCGCGAGCGCGGCTCCCCGCACACCTTTCCCGTGGCGCTTGACCCGGGGGAGGCAGGCGTCCGAGCCAGCGCCTCCGGGATCTGCTTTGCACACACAGTCGTCATTCACACACAAACTCCAAACAGAATACCGTCCTTCATGTGGGAGCACCACCTTATTTATTCAGGGTACGATACTTTGATAGGGCTTGAAAACGCTCCAAAAGGAGG